TGTTTTCCACATTTCTTGGTGTTCTTTGAGCCTACATTCAGTACGAGTAAAATACTTAAGTTCTTTTAAAATTGGATACTTTACGACTTTTACTCAAGTCCTATTGGAATTGGTGACTTGTAACTTGTAATGGAGTAATTTATACAGTAAGGTATCTGTACTCTTACTCAAGTATGGTTTTCAGGTACTCTTTACACCTCTGTCAAAAAGTAATCAGAGCAGGATAATTTAACAACATCCCAGTTGGAGCAGTAAACTTTTTCAATCCTTATGCCACAGAGAGGCAGTCTGACCGTCAGCAATAAACACATCAAAATCTGACTTAAAGGAAAAAACCAAGCAGATAATATCAGGTTCCTCAGCCTCTGTGGTGTCATGATGGAGTGATACTCCAGTGGTTTGCAAATTGCAACATACCTGTCATAAGCCATCACTGTCAGATTTGTTATTTCAGAGAAAATATAAGTGTGGACGACACAAACCTGAAGTATACATGCGCTGTATGAAATAATATGAGAGTCTGACATGAGGTCAATGAGAATCTTGGGGTAGAAACCCGTAGCCCCAAAAATGCCATTAACACAGAGATTACACAGGAAGATGTACATGGGCTCATGGAGAATCTTCTCTGTGGAAATGATTAGTATGAGAGACAGATTTACAAAAAGCGTACAGAGGTAGGACACAAAAGAAAAGCCAAAATAGATGTTTTTGTCTCTCCTTGTCTCATTCAAACCAGCAAGAATAAGGAACATTTCACCGGAGACTCTCTCCATTCTGGCCGCTTTTAACTGGCATGGACGGAGGCCGGGCCTCTTTTTTACCGCAGTCTTCCTCTTCCCTGGTACCATCACAAAGAGATCGGAGCCTCCAGATGTTGAAGGGCCCCAGTGTTCATAGTAGCTACTTTTGGTTTTCAGCCAGACTCCTGAAGCCTGACTGTAAATGGCATTTTTCACATGTCTAAATTTTAAAAATCATCCAGTGCTGTACTAGTATTCAGCCATCAGCTGGTCTAGTTCAGCTCTCAGGTGTTCACTCATTGCCAGGTTTGTCAGAGACGGCAGGACACTAACAGGTCTAGATTTTCTCAGTCTTCTGGCCTCTTTATGCCGCTGGGCTGTGCTGTTGATTGCTGTGATTTCTGACGTAATCACGCTCCCTGTAGACAAGCGGCACTCCTGTGTCCAATTAATCACAGAACTAATAATTCTAATAATATCCAATACACAACATGATCAGGACAGGCAGATATGCTCTAAGATGGTATTCTGTCTGCATATTCA